TTTTAAATTCAGAGCTGCCACCCAGTAGGGAGCAGCTCATCCTGCAGCACTGTGCTGTGGGATGCTTTGGGGCCAGCTGGGACACGCTGGGCTCCCAGCAGGTCTGGTCTTGTGGGATGTGTCTCCTGTTTAATGCGGAGTGATCCCTGCCTGTGAAGCAGCTCTGCTACCTGCAGAACCACACGGTTCTTGTGCAGGCCCAGCAGAGCCATTTTCTGCACTGAGTTTCACCCACAGGTGCTGGAGGCGGACTTGCTGAAGAACATAAAGCCTGAGGAGCGCAAGAGGCAGGAGGTGAGCACATGGTGTGCCAGGGCTGAGGGCACGTCCTGCAGAAGTCCTTGATGCCAGGCAGTGCGTGGGATGGGGGATGCTGAATATGCCTTTTCCAGTCATTATGAATGTAAATAACATACAGTTGTTATTAAATAACAGATGGGCATCACTGGTGTGAATGAGATGCAGTTGGCTTTTAATTCACGCCCTTGCTATGCCAGTAATAATGCAGTTTCCTGTGCTGCGTCTCCCTGCCTCGCTGCTTTCAGGCGATGTTTGAGATCATCACATCAGAGTTCTCCTACATGCACAGCCTGAGTGTGCTGGTGGGCTGCTTCAAGAAGTCGGAGGAGCTGAAGGAGACCATGACCCAGACGGAGCACCACCACCTCTTCTCCAACATCAGCGACATCCTGGCTGTCAGCACCAAGTGAGTGAAGCATTGTGACGGTAGACCTCTGCAGCTCTCTGATGGAGGGGCAGCATCCCTGGAAGTGCTGAGACATCCATCCCCTGATTGTATTTCACCCAGCACACGTTCCTATAGTGCTGCAGCATCACCTTGTTGTTGCACAGTCACGATGCTGGGTCAGTTTTGGCTTGAGGGATTTGTCAGCAGGAGCAGCACATAATATTTTGAATAGCAGTGCCCGGTCACATGCCTGCTGCAGAGCTCCCCATCACTGTGCTTAGAGCTTTCCTGTTTCCTGGAAGCTCCCAGCTGGGAATTCCCAGATGGGATGCAGGGACTGCAGCTGTGTGAGAACCGACGCGGGGGTGGCAGGGCCTTGCTCTTCCTGCAGCAGGGATGGAGCTCACTGGGCGAGGGGAACTTGATGCAGGGGCTGTGAGCTGCCCTGGCAATGCAGGTGGCCCTGCAGGGGACACGGTGCGCCCTGAGCACGTGGTGTGTCCCTGCCACCAACCTGGGCATGGCTCTGTGTGTGTGGAGCAGCTGTGCCTACTGGCTGTGGTGGCGTGGGAAACACACACAGTGTGGAAATGTCATTTCAGAGCAAAGAGTTCAAGGGGTTCTGCTCAGGGGAGCACGTGGTGTCTTGGGATGGCCTGAGCAGAGCCTGTTCATGGCCAAGTGCGTTGCAGTTTGTTTCTCTCTTTAGGCAACCCCCCGAGCTGTGCAGCTTGTGCATTGCTCTGGACAGTTGATTTCTTTAATTCCTAAACCAGAAGGCTTTTGCTGCCTCAGACCCAGTCTGTGCTTCTGCAGAGGCACCACCTGCCTGCAGTGCTGGGATGTGGGCAAGGCTGGGGATGAAGCAAAGGCCAGAGCTGGGGCGGGATCCCTGAGGGTAAATGTGTGAGGGAGGAGGAAGGACACGAGCTTGTGGAACAGAGCAAGGCATGTGGGGGAAGGATGGGCTGCAATAAACTGCAGATCTTCTCTGTCCTGCCCTGGTGAGTCATGCAGTGAGACTGTCTGACTTCCTCTCCTCAGCTTCTTCCAAGCCCTAGAGAAGCGACACCAGGAGAACGTCCTCATCCCCGACATCAGTGACATTGTGGAGGAGCACGCCTCCAAGCACTTCAACCCCTACATCAGTTACTGCTCCAACGAAGTCTACCAGCAGAGGACACTGCAGAGGCTGCTGTGAGTACGGCTCTTACAGGGAGCTCCTGCAGGTGGGGTGTATGAGGGGTGCATGCAGAGGCCGCTCATCCCAGAGTGTGCTGGCGGTGCAGGTGTGCCCCAGCCTTGGGTGGACTCAATGTTTCCAGTTGTTTTTCCATTGCCTGCTGCTCCAGCTGTGCTCACTGTTGCTGAGCGCCAGAGGCAGCACTGCACTGTGCTACTCATGCATGGGAATCCCCTGGAAAACCTTGATACCTGAAAAACAGCGTTAATGGAGATTTCTTGTCCCGTTCCAGAAAGACAAACCCCTTATTTAAAGAGGCCTTGAAACAAATTGAAAGGAAACCAGAATGTGGAGGGCTGCCACTGATATCATTTCTCATTCTCCCTATGCAGAGAGTAACGCGGCTTCCTCTGCTGTTAGATGTAAGTAAGTCACACAGCAGCATTGCTTGGCACCTCTGGAGAGGGGAACTGCTTCCAGGTGTTGGTTTGCTGAGCCACCAGAGCCTTCTGCTCTGACCACAGATCCCAGCTCAGCAGCTGCTCCGCCGTCGCTCTGTCTTGCAATATCACTAAAGCCTCTTGTCTTGACGTTCTAGACAGTCTGTCAAAAAACACAAGCATGCACTGCAGCGTATGGAGCTGCCACCAGAGCTCTGAAAGCCATCAGCAAGGTGAGGACAGCTGCCTGCTCCCCATCTCTCCTCTCTCCCAGCACTCTGTTTCTCCACCCTGGTCCCAAGCCTGCCCTTCTGCCCTCTTATTTTTCCTTCTTACATCAGTTCACTTGACATTCTCACTGCAAATAGCTGTGGGATGGTACACATCTTTTCACTTGCCCATTTTTTTCACTTGATGGTGTTTTTTCCTTCTTGTCCTCTTTTCTTCATTCCTCCTTGGCCCATCCTTTGTCCTTCTCTCCACTGTATCTTCCACTGGTGCTTTCCCAGCCTCAGAACTGCCATGGAGGTGAGTGCCCTACAATTCTTACTTGTCTTATTGGGGCCCTCACCAGCAACACTTGTGCCATCCTTCCTTTCATCTACCCATTCTCCCTTGTGTTTTTCCAGCTGGTTAAGAACTGCAACGAAGGAGCTCGTGCAATGGAGAGGACAGAGCAGCTGTACACTCTGCAGAAGCAGCTGGAGTTCGGGAAGAAGAAGGTGAGGGTGCGTGGTGGTGGGGCTGAGCAGGCTGTGGGCTGGAATAGCTGCCCATTGCTGTGGTGTTTTCATCCACCTAATCTGAGTTGTCTTTACCTGCCATGTGTGAGACAAATGCTCCTTCAGGTTTTCTCCATTGCAGCCTTTTCCCCTGATCTCTGCCTCCCGCTGGCTGCTGAAACGGGGTGAGCTCTACCTGCTCTCCTCTGAGGAAGGAGGAATCTTCCGTAAGGGCTCCGGCAGGATCTGCCACCTCTTCCTCTTCAATGACGTCCTGATCATCACCAAAAAGAAAAGGTACAGCTCAGGGCCTTCCCTTGGCACAGGACTGGTGGGTTGATGTCTTGCAGCATTAGGAAACCTCGAGGCTGCCGTGTTGTGGCTACGAGGGAGGCATTTCTTGTGAACGGCCCAAAGCCATTGGGTAGAGCCCACCTGGGGGCGATGCCATGTGGGGAGGAAGCTCTGAGAAGCCCCTTCTGTCCCTGCTGCAGTGAGGAGAGCTACACCGTCATGAACTACGCCATGCTGGACCAAATCTCAGTGGAGAAGATAGAGACCACAGAGCCTCCATCCCCTCCTCCTGGCCGGCCAGGCGGGCACCTGCTGCGTGTGGCCATGGAGAGGGACAGCGAGGGCCGGCGGGAGGAGGTGCTGCTGTCAGCAGAGACACTGTGAGTCCTGAAAGCCTCCATCCCTGGGGGGAGGTCTCTCCTGCCAGCAGCAGGATGCCATCCGTGGCCTTTCCTGCTCATGTTGGTTTATCCTTTGCCAGGAGTGACCGGGCACGCTGGGTCACCGCACTGATGCACCGGGAGCGAGAGCAGCCTGACAGCACTCCCCGTGGAGGTAGGGGCCAGTGTGGCCACGTGCATGGGCTCCCACTCAGCCTGGGATGCACCGATCCCATGTTCTTAACTGGTTCTGTCCTGCCCTGCAGACCTGAGCCAAGTGGAGATAACCCGTGCCTACATGGCCAAGCAGGCAGATGAGATTTCCCTGCAGCAGGCTGATGTGGTGCTGCTGCTGGGCGAGGAGGATGGTGAGTGGGGTCTGTGGCTCAGGACACGGCTGTGGTGGGGCACGGCCTCGGTGGATCTTCCACAGCACTACAGCGAGTGAGCTCTGTGCCCAGGATACCGGGCCTGGAAGGCTGACAGAGCTCCAGCAGCCCCGAGGCCTCTTGCCGTGGGTGCTTCCCAGGTGTGCTCACATCCCATTCTCCTCCCAGGCTGGTGCTGGGGTGAGCGGCTGCGGGACGGCGAGCGGGGCTGGTTCCCCCAGGACTGTGCTCGACCCATCACCAGCCGTGTGGCTGTGGAGTGCAACGTGCGGCGGATGGAGCGGCTGCGGATCGAGACGGATGTGTAACAGCCAGGCCTGACCCCATGGGAGCTCCAGAGCTCTGGAGACTGAGCCCTGCCAGGAGGCAGCAGGAGAGCCATTCTTCCTGGGTTTGTAGGGCAGGGACTGGTTGTGGCAGCAGTGTTGATGGCCGTTAATTGACACGGGACCTGGCATCCAGGTGCCTTTGGCCAAGCGTTAGGGCATCCTTGCTCAGTGCAGAGCTGGCTTTCCCCTACAACTCAGCACCAAGGAGTGGTTGAGGGTCAGGGCAGGGAGTGGGGTTGTGACTGCTGAGCAGCTCAGGTCTGTTTGGAATGGAAGGAGTGCTGGAGGCAATGGGAATGCTCAGGGCAGCATTGCTCTGATGTCTCTGTTTGCATCAAACTGCCAAAGGATGAAGGAGACCAACAATAAATTCTTGGATCCTAATGAGACAAACGTCCTCCTTGCCCAAAGTGCAGCAGTGGGACCCCCACCAAGGAGCCAGGTGTTCCCACTGCTAACAGTCAGCAGGAAGCTCCATCTGACAGCTGTCTTTGCTGCTGGGTTGTGATGGATGTGGCTCAGGAGCCATCCTTCAGAAGAGCTGCAGTGACATTCACAGGTAACTAACTGAAGAGACAAGGCAAAAAGAAGTTCAGTGAAGCTGTCTTTATTTCTGTCAACTGTGGAAGAATGAGAACTGTGCTAAACGGGTGCTAAATTAAAGGAGACAAGAGGCTAAGAGACAAATGCTACGTGAAAACAAGCAGCAAGGTGTATTAAGAGACAAAACCAGTAAAAAACAACCATGATCTGAACAATGGAGTTTCTGCATTCCCTGCTCAGAAAGGCACTGTGCTCAGAGGCTTTCCAGCCCACCAAGGAAATAAATAGAAAGCTCAGGTGCATGCCAACAGCACACAGCCCTGAGTGGGTGGAGAATAGACACCAAGAACAGCAGGAGCCCATGGGTGTTTGGCACATCACCACCTCTCCCTCCTCCCTGCTTCCTGCTCATACCCAACCTCAGTTATACCATTTTGGTCCTTCACTACGTGCTTATTTTAACATTATTTCTTCACATCTAATGCAAAAAAAAAAAAAAAAAAAAAAAAAAAGGAAAAAGTAAGAAAAAATTAATTAGTAAAAAAAAGTACAAGTTATTTACAGATTAAAAGAAAGTCCATCCGGAAAGGAAGCAGTTCTTTGGCCCCTGAGGGATGGGGCCATCCCTGTGCACTCAGGACCAGGTGCTGCACCACCACCACTGCAGGGCTGCAGGCACCCACAGCTTTGTGCCAACGTGTCCATGTCTGGATTGGGTGCTGCAGGTTCTTGATCAGCTCTTCCCCCTCCAGGTGGCAGCTCTGCAGAGCTGCACTGCTGTGGTAGAGCTTGCCATAAATATTTTTGAATAAATACCTATTTTCAAGCATCATATCAACCCTTCCCCTCCAACCCCAGCAGCCAACAGCCAGAAGTGAGGGCCAGCAGCTGCAGAGCAGTCCTACAGCCCATATCCAGCCCAGGCAGCAGCCAGCTCCCATCTGCCATGAGTTGGTTGTCACTCGAGTGCCTTGGGAACAAGTCCTCCAGCTGGGTCGTGTGCTTCTGCAGGGCCCTGTGGCTGAGGCAGGACGTAGTGCTCCATCCCCTGCAGCTCTGGGGACCTGGTGGGCATCTGGGCGGGCACAGCTGGAGGAGAAGGGGACAGCACTCAGCCCTTACGCTGCAGGTAGCACCCAGGGCCGGTGCAGCACAGGGCTGGGCTCACCTTCCTGGCACGAGGAGCCCATGGAGCCGCGGTGGCAGCGACAGCGGCCAGTCCTGGCACTGCACTGGGAGCTGCTGGCACAGGTGCAGGTGAGGGCACAGTCAGGGCCATAGTGGCTCACAGGACACTCTGTGGGGCAGAGGGGATCAGATGGCTGCGCTACCCCAACGTGGCAGGGCGGGCTCTGGTCTGGGTAAGATCTTCTCTCCAATGGGACGCACACAGAACAGTGCTCTTCCATGAGACATCAGCTCCAACAAGGCATGTTTGCATCCATCTGAAGGCTGTATTTTGATCCACCCCCCCCACATTCTTTTCATTTCCCTGCTCACCTCATTGCCCATCCTCACCTGAGTCACAGCTGGGGCCGGTTGTTCCCGGAGGACAGAGGCAGAGCCCCGTGATGGGGTCACAGGGCGCGTTCCCCATGCAGTCACAGCGCTGCTGGCATCCCTCACCATACATCCCCTCCTCACAGCCTGGTTTGGGACAGGAGAGGGGCACAGCTGTGCCAAATGGCTCTGAGGCACCACAACAGAGGGGCTGGGGGCACAGTACCTTCCTGGCAGCGGGGACCCCGCAGCCCCACAGGGCAGTGGCAGCGGCCGGTGGCCGGGTCACAGGCAGATCCATGGGCACAGTCACAGTGCTGCTGGCAGTCGGTCCCATGGAAACCAGGGGGACAACCTGGAAAGGAGCATCCAGAGAGAAGCACAGAGCTGTCCTCTCTGAAACATGCCCATGTGGCATCTGCTCAGTTACAGGGAGCAGCACACACGGGCCCCCTGCTCCTGCCCACCCCCTCAGCTCACCGTGCTCACACAGGGCCCCATAACGTCCCGGGGGGCAGCGGCAGGCGCCAGTGATGCGGTCGCAGGTGGCACTGTGCCTGCAGGCACAGCGCAGCTGGCAGTCAGCACCAAAGCTCCCAGGTGGGCACTCTGTGGGGCACAGCAGGGCAGCTCAGCAGGCAGCGAGCCACCAAGCAGGCTGGGCTGTGTGCATGGAGCAGCTTTACCTAACTCGCAGGATTTCCCAGTCCATCCCAGCCCGCAGGTGCAGGACCCATCAGTGGCATTGCACAGCCCTCCATTCTGGCAGGAGCAAGTCTGCTGGCAGCCCAGCCCGTACTGCTGCGGTTGGCAGCCTGCAGGACAAGGGCACAGTGCTGGGCACAGCAGGAAACAGGTGCCCTCCTGGGACAGGAGGGTGCCAGGGTGCCCTGCAGGCGTCCTGCAGGGTGCAGCTGCCCTGCAGCTCGCAGTTACCTTGCTCACAAGTGGGACCAACTCTTCCCGGTGGGCACAGGCAGTCCCCGGTGACGTGGTGGCACGTGGCCCCCTCCCCGCAGGCACACAGCTGTGCACAGTCTGCACCATAGCGGCCGCTGGGACACACTGGTGGGAGGGACACCTTCAGCTGCCTTCATCACTGCAGTGCCTGCAGGCTATGCTTGCAGGGCAGAGCTTTTGCACTTCCCTCTGCCAGAGAAGCAGAGAGGCAGCCATACCCAGATGGCACGACGCAAAAGCTGATGATGTGTCATGGGGACATCATTTTGGCACTCAACAAATGGTGCAAGACGGTGTTTCCAGTGCTAAGACAGCAAATGAGATCAGCTGCAGCTGCCCTCCCACAGCATATACCAAAGCAGGGAGACCAGGAGCCATCACCATGCTGCCATTCCCCCCCCAGCCCCATTCCCATACACTCACCAACGCTGCAGTCAGCACCAATGTATCCTGCTGGGCAGTGGCACGTCCCCGTGGTGCGCTCACACCAGGCCCCATTCTTGCACTCACATGGCCGCTCACAGCCAGGGCCGTACCAGCCCATAGGGCACTCTGCACAGCAAAGCAATGATTGCATGGTGCCCAGCGAGGTGAGAGCAAGGCATCCACCAACATGGAGCTATGGCTCACCCAGCTCGCAGTCAGGCCCGTGGTGGCCTGGTGCACAGATGCAGGCACCGGTGATGGGGTGGCAGTCCTGGTTGGGTCCTGCACAACGGCAGCGTTGGGCGCAGCGCTCCCCAAAAGTGCCGGGCGGGCAGGCTGCATGGAGAAGGGCACTGTGTTTCTTCAGAACTCCCTGACACTGCAAACCCACCCCCATCCCCTGGCGCAGCAACGTGCTCACACCCCTCTGCCCATTCCAGTGCCCATGGAATGATCCCTGATGCTGTGGGTACCCACGTGTCTCGCATGCAGCTCCGGTGAAGCCTGGTGGGCAGCTGCACTGCCCAGTGATGTGGTCACAGGGTGCTCCAGGGGGGCAGGCACAGCGTTCAGCACAGCTCTTCCCAAACACTCCGGGCAGGCAGGCTGTGGGGACAGGAGAGACATGGCAGGCTCTCCCCAACCTGCAGCAGCCAAAACCCCAACCCCATGCAGTCTCACCTTTGTCACAGCGCTGGCCCCTCCATCCGGGGGAGCACTGGCAGTCACCGGTGATGGGGTGGCACAGCCCTTTGTCCCTGCAGTCACAGCGCTCCTGGCAGCCTGCACCAAAGTATCCCTCCGGACAGGCTTGGGGTGCAAGCAGGGGAGAAATGACAAGTTAGGGAATAAAAAAGGGGCTCCTTTCACTGCATGTGTGATAGCTGAATGACTAAGCCCTTCTGCGAACAGACTCGTGCACAAGTTGGTGTGAAAGAGTCATCTTAACTGCACCAAAGGTTTTTGGAAAGGCTTTTGGGTTAAGCACTGTTTTAAGAAGAGCTGGGTGCTGGCAGAACACATGGCTGCAATTTCTTCACTGCTGTTGTCGCAGAAGCACCTAAAGCAGCTGCAAACCAAGTATCTGCAGTACCAACATGAGCCAGAAGTCAGCACTACAGCTGCAAAAATCTGGGAGTTCAGCTCTCATGTCTGCTCCAGGAATGAATGCACCACTAGAGCAACTCTCAAAGCTGGTCTATGCAAAGCGGTGAGGGTGTGTGGGGATGGGGAAAAGCTCTGGGTAAGAGCAGGAGCTCAAACCCAAACTCTTTTCAGCCCTCGTGAAATTGTATCTTTACCTTAAAACCACAGCACCCACCCCAAAACCATGGCATTTACCACAGAGCCATGGTACCCCCCTGACCATGGCACCCCCGAGCCTCCCAGCTGCTGCAATCCAGCCATTCAGCTCTGCACTGAGCAGGCCACGCTCCCGCACCCCCACATCCCACCTCCCCTACTCACGGCTCTCACAGATGCTCCCACTCCACCCAGGTGGGCACTGGCAGTGTCCCTGCAGGTCACAGACCCCCCCGTTCAGGCAGGCACAGCGCTGCCCGCAGCCCTCCCCATGCCCGTCAGCGCACGCTAGGAGAGAGCAAAGGGCAGAGCTGTCACCCCAAAGGCAAACCACCCCAAAATGGGACTGGCTGGTGGCAGAGCCCATGTCCTGATGCTGTTGGCAGTGTCCTTACCCAGCTCGCAGGCCAGCCCGGTCCATCCCATTGGGCAGGTGCAGTGCCCCGTGGCGGGGTCACACGTCCCCCCATTCTGGCACAGGCAGCGTTGGTAGCAGCCCATCCCATAGAAACCCTCTGGGCATGCTGGGGGGAAACCAAAAGGCAATCAATCAGAAATCCATCCCAGGTGTGTGCCAAAGGCAAAGCTGAGCCTCCAGTGACATGCCCAAAGACAGGAGGGCATGGAATGAGGATCCTAAATTCTCTAAACCTGAAACCAAACCCTAAAGCACCCTTTTTCTCCCAACCCAGTGCCAAGCTGAGTAATGGAGTGCAGGAGGAAGCCTGTGGCTGGAGGTGACGCCTGTAATTAAAGCAGATTGGATACTGCTGGAACAAATGGCCACACATAGGACAACCATGAGAGGAATGGAAAAACACGTGGTACCTTCTGAGCCTCTGCCGTCCCACCACTGCTAAGAGGGGGACTGAATTTATACGCCCCACTGGGCTGCCTGATCTCTCAGAAATGTCTCAGCCCTGGTGGTGGCACATAGCCCAAAAAACGCTGGGTGAAGGCAGCAGCCATGGTGAGCATCAGCACAAAAAGCCATTTAAGCACATGAATAATGCTCTCGTGCTCAATTGCACTGAGCTGTGCCTGAAGGCACTGCAGCAAGCAGCCAAGCCCTCACCCTGTGCTGCTACAGAACTGCGAGCCAGGGCAACTTCTGCTGCACTAGGAGAGGGCAATCTCTTGGCACCTGTCTGTGGGAATGAATGGGAAGTGCTGATAGTCTCTTGCAATCTTGCCTTGCTATCGTCTGCCTCAGGTTTTTGGATCTACTACCGCCATTGAAAAGCGCAGCCCAGCCCAAGCAATGGCATTTCTAGCACCCACAGCTAGGTTGGGCAGCCACAGGGCACATTACCTTGGTGGCACGTGGGCCCCAGCCAGCCAGCAGCGCACAGACAGCGGCCAGTGATGTGGTCACACACAGCGTTGTTGGAGCAGCTGCACACCTGGCTGCAGCCGTCACCAAACCTGCCCTGCGGGCAAGCTGCAGGAGAGACACAACTGTTAGCAACAGGCACGCGTGGCATCACCCAGTCCCACCAGCAGTGCCTCCTGTCTGCAGGAGAGACCAGCAAGCAGCCAGACCATAACAACCATCCTGACCCCATGGGTTGTTGCTCTTTGGGCCGTGCATGCATTGGTTTTATGGTGCTAGATGTAGAACCCACAGCAGCACGCTACGTGTGGCTGCTGCTCCAACACATGGGCACTGTTATCCTTAGCGTGACATCACGTTATCTGTGAGGGAGCTGTTCTGCCAGGATCCCCAGCCCTTGTCAGATCCAGCAGCAACATGCACAGCCTTCAGGAGCAGCCCCTGAACAGGGGACCTTTGCCAAGAGGGTTCCGTGAGGCTGCATCTGCTCCAGATAGCTGCTGGGCAGTCCAGGTTTGAAGCACCTTTGAACCATTCCAGTCTGCAAAGCTTGGCTAAGAGCCGTGTAAGAATAGAGCCCCTCTGGAGAGATTTGGTATTTCCTCCTTGGCACCTCAATAGACGCAGCACACAACGCTGCCCCCTCTTGGCATGAAGAACACAGAGCCTGGCCAAAACCTGGCACTGCGTGGTGCATGGAAACAGATGTTGGGATGACAACAGCTCCATCAGTGCTTCAGCGCTGTGAGATGTGGGCTGGGGGCTCTGCTGTTCTCAGCAGCAAAAACAAACAAACACAAAAAGGCACGAACTGAATCATGCCAGAGGGATCCCAGCACATCAGACAAATCCCTAAGGGAATTGCTCTGCACACCCAGTGTTGGAGCAAGAGCAAAGCTGTGTGTGCTGCATGGGGTCAGATCCAGCCCTGGGGACACTCACCACGGGCACAGCGGGGCCCGGTCCAGCCCGGCTGGCAGTGGCACTGCCCAGTGATGTGGTCACAGCGGGCTCCATTCTGGCAGTTGCAGGCGTGCCGACACTCAATGCCATAAAATCCATCCGGGCAAGCTGTAGGGAACAAAGCAAACAGCCCAGAGGGTCTGTAAGAAGAATGGACAGCTCTTAGGGGTGCACAGTGGGTGAGCAGACACCCAAGGATCACTCCATGCCCTGGGCTACGCACAGTGCTCACAGAAGGTCCCCCGCCAGCCCGCAGCACACGTGCACGCCCCGCTGATGTGGTCACAAATGGCCTCATGCTCACACTGGCAGCGGTGCCGGCAGCCCAACCCAAACCATCCTGCTGGGCACCCTGGGGAGAGAGCAAAGAGCACTGAGGAACCATCCTTGGGATTGTGCTGCAGTGGGAGCACAGGTTAGGACAAAAGGGATCTGGAAGGATATGGCCGCCTCGTGTTTAAAACGAGAGTCCGCTGCTCACAGATGCACCCACACACCCACCAGGACGGCATCATGAGGACAGAATTACCGCTGCTACAGCACCGACCCTTCCCACAGGGCTCTGGGAAACAAACCTGAGCCCAAACTCATTGCAGCACACACTCACGCTCCTCGCAGTGGCTGCCCGTGTGGCCGGGATCGCAGGCGCACTGCCCCGTCACCGCATCGCAGCTCCCGGTGCTGCTGCTGCACTCGCAGACATTGGCACAGCCTGGACCCCAGCGCCCCGCAGCACAGCCTGCAACACAGGCACAGCACGGGGATGGTAAAGAAGCCAGCCCCAGCCTAGCACTGCACAGCTCAGAGTCTCCTATGAACAATGCATGATGATGCAGGCGCTGTACCTCTCCGGCAGTCGTGGCCCGTCCAGCCGGGTGCGCAGCTGCACATCCCCGTCACGGGATGGCAATGTCCCTCATTCCCACAGCTGCAGATCTGCTGGCAGTCCTGGCCAAACCAGCCGGGTGGGCACACTGCAAGGCAGGGACACAAGCTGCAACTCCACAGCGAGCCCAGGGCACAGCACACACAGCCACAAGCACAGCGCTCACCATCGTGGACCCAACATTCACCATGACCCCAACTCTCCTTAATCCTGACACTCACCATGACTCAAGGTTCACCATCACGGACCCAGCATTCACCACAACCCAATGCTCACCATCACAGACCCAACACTTATCATGACCCCACACTCACAATCATGGACCCAGAATCCACCATGACCCAACGCTCACCATCCTGGCAGTGGCTGCCAGTGAAGCCCGGTGGGCACACGCATGCTCCCGTGGCAGGGTCACAGCTACCATTGTTGGCACACTCAGGACACAGTTCTTGGCAGCCGAGGCCCCAGCGACCCTCTGGACAGGCTGCAGCAATCAGAGAGAACAAGGGCGGCCCAATGCCTCTGGTAAGTGGCACAGAGCAGGCTGATGGCTCAGCTTGGGACTGGAGATGGGCTGGTTCCTCATTGCTCTTGGACAGGGACAAGGGGCTGCATGACCCCCATGCAGAGAGCTGGCAACCAAAAGGGCAAGGTGGGAAGCCTAATTTCTTGTTAGTGGATCTCCTGTCTAGTTTGTATGCTTTTGTTTGGGAATAAATGGCCAGCAGTGAAGACAACATCTCAGTGTTTGTTTTATAAACATCCCTCAGTAAGTGTGAGCCTGCCAGGGCCCTCGTGTCAACTTGAGATTCACATCTGCTGCTGAGGAGCAGAGCTCCTGGCAAAGCATGCTAACCTGGCAGCCACTGTCACCCTGCAGGAGCAGCACGAGGGACGCAGACTGCTGACGGCTGAGCAAGGCAGCTGAGATGCTGCAGGGTTGGGGACAGGGCCAGCTCACTGTATTTGAAACTTAGGAACAGGACATCCACACTCCATCAGTGGCTTCCAGCTGCTGTCACGCAGCACCAGATGCACTCACCTTGGGTGCAGTCGTGCCCTGTCCGTCCCGCTGCGCACACACACCGCCCGCTGACCGCATCGCAGGGAGCCCCGCCGCAGGAGCAGAGCAGCAGGCAGCCGGCCCCGAACCGCCCTGCAGGGCACTCTGCAAGCAAACAGCAGTGAGAGCTGCAGGTGACAGAGCTGCACACAGGCCAAGAGCCACTGAGCTCCCACAGACCTCTCCGAGCCCCCAGACACACACCACGCTCGTGGTCTTTTTTTTTGTGTTCCTACAAGACACACATGCACCAGCACTCACAATTAGCGCAGGAAAAGGCACCCTAGCTCATAAATTTCAAGTGACACAGTGGAGTTTTTGTTATTCCTGCTCTGTGCTAATTGATGGCAGATGTTTGTCTTCACCCTTTAATCATTTCCAGGTCCCAACAACAGCCAAAAGCCTCCTATTTCTGTACAAATATTTGTGTTATTTCCTGTGACTCCCCCCCTGCAGGCTTGAGCTCCTTTCTTATTCCTTTTATTAACTATCCTCAGCTGAGCACCCGGGAGCTGCAGTGCTGCTGCAGCCCTTTGGAATGAATGGATGCAATATGGGATGCAAGAATCTACTGCGCTTCCACTCACAGCCTTGGGGTTCTTACAGCAGAAGTTAAGCTGCAGCAGGAGGAAAACAGGGAAGGTGAGCATGGAGCAAAGAGAGAGGAACTGCTCTGGGAATTTCATACACAGGCAGAAGTTTAAGTCCTAATGTGCACGAAGTACAGAATCTGCCATGTGCAGATCAAACAGAACTTCAGCAGAGGAAAAAGAACAGAAGGGGAAACACAATGCCATTCTTCTGGGGACTGATGGTCTGGAAGTAAAAGGATATCAAAGGGAGGAAAAAAGACAGATCGATATCTGTCACCTTCATCTACAACAGCAGGGATGCCCACGGGGCAGGAGGCAGAGAGAGCTTGTCTTCCTTTTCTGAATAAGGATCTCTATGCACAAGAATCCTGCCTCCCTCTCTAAGCTCCCAGCTCTACGAGATCCCAGATTTGGGTCATCGGAAGCCACTTCCAACCCCACCACCTCACCTTGGTCGCAGTTCTCCCCATGGTAGCCCTGAGGACACTCCTTCCAGCACTGCCCGGTGACGTGGTCACACTGTGTGTCTGGAGAGCAGCTGCACTTCTTCCTGCAGCCCTCCCCATAGCGGCCAGGCTCACACTCTGGGGACAAAGATAGCATGTTTAGTTCCTAATCTAGGCAAGCAAGAGACGCAGAGGTCTCAGGAGGATGAAGCCTTGCAATATCCATCAGGACACTCACTGCTCTCGCAGTGCACACCGCGGTAGCCAGGCTTGCAGCGGCAGGAGCCGTCCCGCTTGTCGCAGTGCTGCGTGTTGGGCTGCACACAGAGGCATTCCTCGGAGCAGCCGGGGCCAAACGTCCACTTGGGGCACGCTGCAGGGACGAGGACAGGGCAGGAGTGACCCTTCTGTTACAGCACCCAGCCCAAAGGCAGCATGCACCCATAACAGAGGCGTACCCAAGTGGCAGTGCCGCCCGTACCGGCCAGGATCACACAGACACGCTCCGTAGATGCGATGGCAGCGACCTCGGTTGGCACAGTTGCATTTTTTCCTGCACTGCTTTCCAAAAAATCCTTTTGGGCACCCTGGTGATAGGGATGGTGAGGCAGTTTGGGTCTGTAATTTCATGTCTTGCAGGAAAGACACATACCAAAATCGGAGTACATTGTCACAGACAAACCTAGGCACAGGCTGCAGTGAGGGAGGGACTGCTGTCTGACCAGGAAGATGCTGGGATCTCCAATAAGGGCAACAGGATTCCCCGCACTAGCTCAAAACTGAGTTCTCCACATGAGAAGCACATGGACAAATCACTGTGTCAGCACAGAGCTGCAGCACAGCCCTCCCCAGGTGTCCTGGCACTGCTTGCTTTAATCTCACCTTCCTGTTTTCTCTCTGCACCCTTCAACCACCTCCTTCCTACAGAAAGAAAAGCTCCAGCTATCTCCTGCCTTACTTCATGTTCTCCTCCTTCAGTAACAGCTTCTGTATGATCCTAACCCTCCATCTGTGGCCAAATCCCTCATTGTCTCGTCGCTTCCGTGCCCCCCAGGTTTCAATTCTTTGGGAGCAAGGAACACCCTCAGATGGGGGGGGGAACCAACCCCAGCAAATACAGAAGGCTCCAAAGAAGCACATGACAAACACCTGAAGAGATGCTCATTGCTTTGCCAAGGGAAAAATACCAATGGAACACAGCTGTTTCTGCCCAAGGGCTCTCACCATCCTCACAGTGGATCCCAGCCACGCCAGGCGGACAGCGGCAGGTGCCGGTGGTGGGCTCACAGGTGCCCCCATTCTGGCACAGGCAGAGCTGGCTGCAGTTCTTGCCAAAGGTTCCGGGCGGACAGGCTGTGGGACAGAGGGCACAGCTTTAACAGCATGCACAACTGTGGGTTTGACCTCTGAATAAGGTGCATTAGGGTCTATGGGCAGCACCACTCACTCTGGTTGCACAGCAGCCCGCTCCAGCCGGCCGGGCACTCACAGCCTGTCCCCTCCACGTTGCAGGTGCCCCCATTCTGGCAGTCCTCACATGTCAGGCTGCAGTCGTGGCCAAAGGTGTTCTCCAGACAGACTGCAACAAGACAAGACGGTGAGATGCCCTCCCCAAGACTGCCCCCAGCAACCCCAACATTACAGCCTGTGGCTGCTCGTGCATCCACCAGGCACAGACCCAGCACCCACGATTCAAACTGGAGGCTTCCAAGCAAAATGAAACACCCACCGAATGTTTCTGAAAGCGTGTGCTCTCCTCTTGCTTCCATCTCTTCCTCCTCCTCCTCTTCATAGTCGTCGCTGAAGAGCTGGGTGAGCTCATCCCGCAGGATGGCCACGTGGGGGACGGGGCGCATGATGGGGCGCCGGGCATCCAGGGCTTCCACTGAGTTCTCTACAGCTGGGGGAACAGCCACAGAGACCACAAAGTCAGAGGGAGAAAATGGAAAAGAGCTCATCTGGGGGTGGGGAACAGTACAGAACTTCTACCATAACGAAGGGAAACCAGAACTTCAGTACAGGGTTTGTACAATTGCTTCAGCATTCATCACGTCACTGATATCTCTACAGCAGTGATCCACTCCTTCCCACTTGGCTTTTTCCAATTCACTGGGGCAGACTGCCCACCCAACAAAACTAAGGGATGCATTTCAGCTTGGTGCCCTCTTGGAACAAGCACACATCAGCTACAGATCCTGGTTCCCTTCCCTCACAGGGCTAAGCGTGGCACTTGCAGCAGGGGTTGCACAGCCTATAAAGCCTCAGGGATGGGCAGGACAGGCACTCTGATGCTCCTGATGGTGTAAGGTTGTTTCTATGGTCCTGCTGCAGGGGGACAGGCACAGGGTGCCCAGCATGCAGCACTTACAGATGCAGCCCTTCCTGTCTCCATCCAGCTTGTACCCAACGGGGCAGCTGCACTGGAAGGACCCCACCTGGTTCTGGCACGTGTGCTCACAGCCACCGTTGTTGGAGGAGCACTCATCCACATCTAAAACACAAAGGGGACAGTGAGCAGGTGGCAGCACTTCACTGGGTACACAAAGCTCTGAAAGCTGAAGGAGACTGCCCAAGTGATGGAGAGCCCCTGTTCATTGCAGGGGAGGGGGATCAGATGGCCTTCAAGGGTCTCTTCCAACTCCAGTGATTGCATGGCTTTATAACTGGGAGCGACTGGAAGAGGTGCCTAGCTGCTCACAACCAGGCAGAACAACTTCTTTTCATTAATAGCCTGCATTTGTCCCCAAGTCATCCATGCTTTACACAGACACTTGTATTTACCACCAACTCCACCAAGATGGAAATTACGGGCAACGCTCAGTCAATACTGAAAAACTGATGTGTGCAAACTGTGGCTGCATTCAGACCTGGAGCAAATCTGAGGCAGCCTGACTTGAAGTCATTGAATTCAAAGCCCCATAGCTTTGCTGGCCCAATGGATGGGTGCTACAGGAGCAAGGACAACACACGCACCACACTGCATGCGCCCTGCTCACCATCACAGGCACAGCCATCAGCACGCAGCCGGTACCCAGCATGGCAGGCACACTCGTAGCCCCCAGGGTAGTTGTAGCAGTCCTGCTGGCAGCAGTGAGAGCCGTCCTCACATTCGTTGATGTCTAAATAAAAGCAGAGGGTGCTGGGTGTCAATACACAGCGGTAGCAGCAGTTGTTGACATTGCTCCATGATAGCCTCATGGTGTATGTGCACGCAGCAGCTGACACATGAGGGTCTTCGTGGCTTGGGATAGATTTGTGAAAACAAGGAGCAAGCCTCGCCTTACCAGTGCAGGTCCTGTGGTCATCCTGCAGCCGATAGCCTGAGTTGCAGGTGCAGATGGGGCCAGTGCTGCTGTGGTGGCACAAATGGGAGCAGCCACCATTGCCACTCTCACAGCTGTTCACAATCTCCATTTCTATCCCTGCAGAAGGAATTCCATCAGCATCCAGTGCCACGGCACCAACTCCTTACGTGTGCTTTTGGTACACGGCCCTGCTGAGCAGAGCAGTGCTGTGCTGCAGGGAAGGGATGGGAATAGACTGGGCTGGAAAGGACTGTACAAAAATAACCCTGTGGAGCCCCTCGGGGCCAGGCTCATGGTCAAGCTGAGATGAACCAGACTGCAGACAGAGCTGCTCCCATTCCTGACGAGCTGCAGGATGTGCTGCCAACCAGAGTTGGCTCAGCCTTCCCAGCACAGAGCTGTTTGGATGCCAGCTGGGAATGGGAGCAGCTGAGTGCTGCAAATATCCAGATGCCTGCAGCTAGGAAAGGCAGTGACTGACATGGCTGAATGGAGGAGGCAAGCATCAATAGCAGCCATGTGTCTTCATAGCTTGGCAAAGTTCTTGTAAACCCCAGCCTAGCTAATGAAGCTTCTTTAGGCTCAAGTACCATGGGGCTCTGAGTCACTCTCGAACCTCAGAAAAATAGCTGCCGCCTACAGGAACATTCTTGAGGTTTTGGTGCATTCAGGCCCAAGAAAGATGAAAGAAGAGGAGCTCAGTGCTCCCCAGTGGGTCTGTGCATGTAGAAAACAAAGGCTGTGCCACAGCCGAAAGCTAACTTCCAGATCTCAGAACACGAATCTTTTCTCCTCCCTTGCTAACGTGTGGTCAGCCAGGGCACAGCAGGGAACAAACCTGCAAGAAGCGTGTGCTCATCCAAGAACACCAATCATCTACATGCAAAAGTGGATGCTACTGAAACTGAGCTACAGGATTTTGTTCAGCAGAACATGCAGTGTGGGATCAACCATGCCCTTAGGAAGAGAGGTGCCAGCAGTGCTTTGGCTCCTGAACAGCACACAGCTCTTTGCATTGCTCTGAACTACTTTGCTTCAGGCTGTCTCTGCTGATGTGCTTTGGCTGAACATATGGCAATCTGGCTCACTCTGGCATTCAATTGTGTTTATTTCTCTTCCTGATGGGAGCAGATGTGATCACATCATTAGCTCAATTCCTCCTTCAGTTACACATCTACAGCTGACCAAACTCATCCAATGCAGTCCCCGGGAGTTGGACTTGGCCCATTTGGAACCAAACAGCTCCAAGTAAACCATCTAAACCTGTGCAATGGTAACTTTAAAGATGAAGATGAGTCCTGTTGGTGGGAGAAGCCAACAGCTCTGACCACGGCACATGGAGCTCTGTGACTCGGTCCGCTCTCAGCAGGCTGTACCAAGTGCTCCTTATCAGCAGGACCCCCCACACTCCTTTTTCCCCCATTCTGACCCACAGACCCCCCCATCCCACCGCAGTACTTACGGTAGCACTGCCTGCTGTCTGCTCCCAGCTCATAGCCCGGGTTGCAGGCACACATGAAGGAGCCGTGGGTGTTCAGGCAGCGGTGTGCACACATGGCCAGGCCGGCCAAGCACTCATCCACATCTACAAATGGGAAAAGCCAGAAGAGCAGCAGCCTTGAAACAGTGTTGACGGCGCATCCCTCAGCATCACCCCATCAATTCCTAAAGCAGTGGCAACGCTGCTTGGCCCCGCAGGAGCTCACCTTGGCAGGCTCTGCCATCGGGTCCCAGCCGGTATCCAGGATGGCACTCGCAGCGCGCCGCTCCCCGGACATCGCGGCAGAGCTGCATGCAGCCCCCATTCCTCTCAGCACAGGGGCTCCACACTGGGGTCGAAAGAAGCAGAAATGACCCACTGAGCCCCGCACGTAGGGCTGCCATCCCTCCCCCCACTGCCCGGCACTCACAGGCGCAGCGCCGGCCGTCCTCCCGCAGCCGGTGCAGCCGGCGGCAGCGGCACTGGTGCTGGTTGGCTGTCAGCTGCACGCAGTCGTGCTCGCAGCCACCGTTGTTCACTGCACACGAGTTCAGTGCTGGTACGGGGGTGGGAAAGCACAAAAAAACATCATCCGAAAGCACCATCAGAGGGTTTGAAGTCATAAAGCTATTTAAGTTGTCGAGGTGGGCTAACGGCAGATCGTTGCTACAGCAGCGCCGAAATCTCATAGCTTTGCTCAGATGGTGCAAATGCAGTGCCACAGCTAAAGCCACTTAATTGCTGCTCAGAGAGCTGCACTCAGGCATGCTCCAATTTTATTGTCACAAAATAACATGGAAAATTAGGTTCCTGGCGCCGAGCCATGCAAAAGACAGCAATTACACAGGGCGAGGCCAGCAGGCACCATCGGTTCTTCTGGGAGCGTTCAAGAGGAAGGGATTTCAAGCACCCTCCTGCTTATCCCTGCTTTGACCTGGTGTGACACGTCCCATCCTGTGAGCCTGCTGCAGAAGCAGCGAGCTGGGTGCACTTGCTCAGGGATGCTCTGTAGGAAGGGGGCTGGGCTCCCTGCCTGCAGCACTGCTGGGGGCCTTGTGCAATGCACTCTCCTACCCAGAGGATTTCACACAGGCAGAAAACAGAGGGTTTGCTTAGGTTACAGCCGAGGACACATCCCAAAGCCAAAGGCGTGGAGTATCTTTTTCTTTCCCCTCCCCTCCTCTTTAGGAGCTCACTATGATTAATTAGCTTTAAAATAGCTCAGACTGCTCTGTGGGATAAGCACCCAAAGGGTGAAGTGCAGCAGGAGATGGGCATATCTTGCAGCCATAAGTGCTGCAAGCAAGGAACAGCAGCTTTGCGGCACTCAGAGCGCAGCACCAGCATCTGTACAGAACTGCACTGCGCCCTCCCAGCTCTGCTCTGTCTCACACTGTGGACAGGGCAGCCACCTGGTTTCTGTCACCAAAGAGGTTCCTGCACTTCTGACCCATTCTTTGCACTGCAGGAGGATCCCAAGTCCTGACTCTGAGAAATCCTATAAGGAAGCTGAAGGTTCCACAGCAAAGCCAGGTCCCTGCAGAGGAACACTGCTGGCACTGATGGCTCCTGCACCACTGCAGCCTGTGTCCGATGGCAACCATCACCCGCAAGGATCAGCTCCATTAACAAGCAGGCATTTGGGGGAATAAATATGACTTCATGGGGTCAAAACGCTGCCATACACAGCACAGGGCTGAGGTGAGAATTATCAGTCTGTGCTGCTTCACTGACATTGTTTAATTTATTTGGATGGAGACAGCAGAAGTATCTGAGGTGACTGCAGAGCTATAGGGCAGGGATGGGTGGTCATCAAACATTTCTGCTATATTTAAGTGTTTAATAATGTACATTTTAAAACATCCATAAATCATGGAGCTGTGCTTGGAGTGCTTTTATTAAAATAAAAAAGGAAGAAAAACAACACTGAAGCTTGCCAAAATATTCCTCCTTATGGGAAAAATGCTTGGCCGATCTACAACCAGCCAACGCATCTTACATCTAAAATAACCTCCCAGGATGCAGTGATCCCATGAATTTGCAGTTTGAATAACTGCCATCTCTGCATGCTTTTGGAATTTTCAGAGTGGAAGAACCCAAAGTTCAGATCCTTCTCCACAACACGACTTAAGCAGAAGATGCTGATGGAGATGCTACAAGGTCGGACGCTGCAGGCTCTCCAACAGGGCAACTTAGACACAAAAACACCATTTCCTTTGGGTTGCCTTCAGCAATGTGTTCTTAGAGCCCAGTGACCCTATGGGAGCCTTGTGCTCCTGGTCTGCAGACAATGGGAGCCCATGTGCTCCACGTGGCACTGTGGGCAATAGGAGCAGCAGCACAGCCCTGCCAACACACTCTGCTGTACGTGGCACTCGGGGACGAGCAGAGAGCACTGCAGTGCACGGGCCAGGGCTTTGGTTTTGCTGCAAGAGGAACAAATCCCATTCCAGAGCAGGAACACCGAGGCACAACAAACAAAACGCACTAACAGCACTTTGGGTGCTGTTCCATGTGCTCAGGGTCTCCCAGCCGGCTCTTGGCACAGCACAGCCCGCAGCCCTTGTTCTAATTACTGCTCCTTTTCTTTCTTTGTTTACAGAACCACTCTAAAAATATTTCCATTCCCAGATGCTTTTCCTAGCTCAGCTTTTCTGCGCCGCCGCTGCCAAACCCAGTGTCATCCTGTGCGTCGTGCAGCCTTTGGCAATTAGAGCTCAGACAGATTTTCTGCAGATGAGGTTTCATCGTCTGCAAGCAGAGCACAGTGGCTGGCCCTGCAGGACCTGCACTCGGGACATTGGGTGGCACAGGAGTGCACACAGCAGACGGATGCACCCAGAGCTCTGCTGCTCCGCCGTGGGATCCCCACGTTCCCATCTGCACCACCTTTCCATCCCAGTGGGGTCCCATCACGTAGACCAAGCCCACACACACCCTTATGGCACGACAAAAACCTCTGCTAAATGCGAGATCTCTTCGTTCTTCACTCTCAATACAAAGAGGGCTCCGCCATGTAATCCCAACCCGATTTATTCCAACCTCAGACAATTTCCAGAGCCACGCTGTGTTAATGCAGACCATCTCCCCCTTCTGCCGGCCAACACAAGCAACAGGCTCAGATTAAACTCTTTGCTTTGGCCCTGTAGTCCCTCCCCCAACTCTGGAACCTCGGAGAAGGCCCAAAGATGTCAACTCGCTGCCTCCTGCCATGTGGTTCTGATAAAGAGGGGTGATCTCAGGACGTCCAATGGCTCTTTTTGCTCCATTTCACTTTCAGGCTGTTTTCCTGTTCTCCTTTCTGTACTCAAATCATCAGAGATTCACTCTAACAGAACAACAAAGGCAATGCAGGACCTCGCACTGCAGAGCTGTGGACAACCAAAGCTGCTGAACAGACCCTTAACAACCCACTTTTAGAGGTGCCTGGGCAACTTCTGAAAGACTATGCTGCTTCACCCCCTGCGTTGTGCCTTGCTTTACTGTCTGCAGCACCAACTAAAAGGGGCCAGGCACGAGCCAGCCCTGCAGCCACCCCAGCACTGCACTGAGCATCGTGCAGGGAAACAACTGCTGATCCACAGCCCTCTTCCGAGCTTTTACAGGAAAAAGATGTTTACTTCCATCCCTCGACACCACTGCCCTAATGGGCCAGCACCGAGCTGTGCTGACAGCAGGGCATGTACACACATAGATGTGTATTGCTATCACAGAAGTGTCAGGAACAAAAACCATCAGTGTTCAGTGCAGCTCTGCTGGTCCAAAGGAGCCATGCCAGCATTAAGTCCAACCCCAACCCACCCCACCACGTCCACCAGTCTCCATCCCCAGGTGCTACATGGAGCATCTCCATGGTTGGAATCTCCACCACCTCCCAAGGCAGCTGTTCCAAAGCTTCTCCACTCCTTTGGAGAAGAAATGTTTCCTTATATCCAACCTGAGCTTCCCCTGGAGCAACTAATGGCCGTTCCCTCTCATCCTATCACTGCTATCTGTGAACAGGGCCGTGATGCAAGAGTACAAGCCAACATCAACCACTTCATGTACAACAGCACACACTTTCAGGTATGAGGAGGGCTGTGAAGAAGTAGGCATTCCCAAGGAACACAAAAACCTTTGACTTACCAATGCAGGTTCTGCCATCTGTGTGCAGGCGAAAGCCCGGCTTGCACTCACAGTAATAGGATCCAAAGGTGTTCACACATCTGTGCTGGCAGCCCCCATTGTGAACCTGGCACTCATCAACATCTGCAGAAGAAAAAAAGAACGTCAGAGAAGTGGGCATGACAGTATCTGAAGTCAGAATTATTTATCCTCTGCTGAGTGGCTCCAGATTCGAAGAATGAATGCATCAGGAACAGCGCTGCTATTTCCATCAAGTTTAAGCAGCCAAGTGATTTAAGAGATTTCAAGGACAAGCATGCAATCAGAAAAAAATGCATCTTGTTTGTCAATCAGTGTAAACCATCCTTCCTCTTGCTCAACTTCCAACAGTCCCTTTTCCCACATGGAGGCACACCACCGTAACACCAGGGCAGCCATGAGCACTGCTGCAGTACTTCCCAAGAGCTATCTGCCCTGAAAGCTGTGGGTTCAGCAGTGTTTTGCATTCCCTTGCTGTCTGTTGAAGGTAGATCCATCCATCTGGACCACAAATGGATGGTCTGCCTGTGACCCGAATGGTGAGAGCCACTGCTGAATATGAAGGGCTGGAGGGAGGGGGAAAGATGCAAAGTGAATGGGGAGCTGCAGAGGCAGCATGTAAGGATTGGTGTCCAAAGGTGAGAATCCCAACCACAGCTCCCAGCCCCTCCAACACGATCCGATGGAGCTCCCACTGTTCAGCCCACGTGCCCTTGAACAAAAGGCCATCCCTCTGCCAAACCCCAACCAAATTTTCACAACTCCTACATTGCCTTTAATACTAGCATTCATTTCCAGAGCTGGGCAGAAACGTAAATCGCACCGGAGATCCAACATGTGATGGAAAGAGTCAAAGAATCAGCACAAGAGGAGAAACCCTGCACGCAGGGAGGGTGTGCAAGGTGCAGGCATTGGAGCTGTGCAGGTTGGTGTTCACCCTATTGCGGACCAACCTCCTCCATTCTGAGTTGGCTCAAGACCACAAAGCCTGAGGTCTGGGTAAGTGACATGGAATAACAAAGTTCTCTGGTCTGAATTTCAGGGAACGTTCTACCGCTTCCCTTCAACTCTAACCCAAAGCCAGAAGGCGATGGCACTGGGTCCAACGGGGACAGGATCTGTGCACCCCCGTGGGCCACGCCGCATTGGCACAAGGCATTGGGAGCACAGCGATGGCAGCGCTCCACTCCACGCGACGCGGTTCATGACGCACCAAGGCGATTTTCCTATTGGAGAACTGACAAAATCTGGTTGGAATTAGCGTGCCAAGGAAGGGAAGTGAGAAGCACGCAGTCTTCTCTCCTGAGCGGGCAGCAAGCAGCCCTGCCAGGAGCACAGCGCAGTGCCAAGCAGCACTGGTAGGGCAGCAGCACGGCCAAAACGCCCCAAAGCAGTGCCAAAACCAAACACAGCGAGTGCTGGAAGCACAACTTGGCACGGGGTTAGGAAAGCCCCTGTCTGTGAAAGGTTATGGGAGCTCTCCACACTGACACGGGTGCAGTGGAGCAGCAGCATCGATGCTCTCAGCAGTGTCCCCCAATGGGATTCACTCCTCCCGACCCCACAGAGTTGCTGTGGGACAGCAGGGGAAGGGCAGAGTGCAGGGGTTGTGATGCTGCACAGCCCAACCGCACACAGCTCCCTGGTGGGGCAGCGCAGAGATTGATCCTGAACAGCAGCTCTGTGTTAGGGGAAGGAAAGCAGCAACAGCAGCTCTGCAGATTACAGAGCATTTTGTTCAGGGGCAGTTTATCTCCTGTGAGAGGCTGAGGAGGAGGAGAGGAATCCCAGCTGCAGGCAGCAGCAGCCGATACGATGCAAGGGTTTGCTCTCCAGCTAACCAGGCTGTAACCCCTGCAGCAATTAGCCTGATTACTGAGCCAGGCTGCAGGGAAATGGTTAATTAAAATCCACCAAGATGAGCCCATGTGGGATGCAGCTACTTTATCTTTTCAGTACCAGCTCATTAGAGCTGCTTTCAGCAGTTTCACCAAGCGGTGAGGATGGAAGGAGACAACCCAACCACACTGGGGTGCTCAGCAACGGGACACAGCCTGGTGCCAGGCTGCAGGGGATGGGAAAAAAAACCCAAACCTGAGCTCCACAGGGTTGTTCCAAGCCTGCTGGACTTCCACAGCAGCTGCTCCTACAGAGAACAGAGGTGCTTATAGCTCTTATCCACACACAACCCCTGCACCAACCTCAGCAGCAGAAGTTTCCAAGAGCATTTCAGGAACGGATGCTCTGACAGTCGGATGCAGTGCAGAGGGACCAGCAGCTACCTTGCCTCCAGCACTGCCTTTGTCCTCACCTCTCCTCCTTTTGCCTTCAAGCACAGCTCTCCCTTACAAGCCTTGCTCACGTTTCAGTCTCCTGATGGTGCCGATAATTGCGCATGACTCAGGGTGGAACAGAGATGCACGTAACAACAAGCCAGCTGCCAGCTCCCAACTTGCCACTGCAGTCATCTGCTCCAACCCTTCTTCTCAGCTTCACTTTATCCCACTTCTCCGCCATTAGGATAGAACACAACCCCACGCATGGGCCGTGCGAGCAGCACGTGGCAGGGAACACAGGCAGCACAGCAAACCACGGTGCCCAAACCATGAGGCACTGCCCAAGGCACTCACACCTGCTGCAAGCAACAGAACTAAAGGAGAGCACACAGCTGGGCTGGGTCATAGCATCACAGAGGGAATAGGGGCCTCCAGGTGCAATGATTTCACACAGAACCCCAGCAGAGAGTAATGATCTCTCCTTTACAGGTTGGCTGCAGGAGGACATAACCCACAGCACTGCAATTAGCCACTCAACACGAATGCAGGGATCCAGCAGAGCGCTGTGTACACAGAACAGATTTTAAAGCACTCGAGACTCCAATTATGTGTGCACCACCATTACACAAAGCACCTCTTCTTTCCCTGTTTGCACAAGGAGGCTGCCCACGAGATGCCCCTGCAGCAGCTCATTGGGCTCACTTTGCTTTCGGAGTTGGAAATTTGTACCCCAGGCAAAGCTTGGTCACCTTGGACAAGCCACTCGAGTTAATGTAGCCAGGGATGGAAACTCCAGCTGCAGTGTGAACTCTGTGATTCTGTGGTCTGGTCTCCAAGCAATAACAACTCCACATTTCCTGAGCTCTTCCACATCTCACACGTGTACAGATAATGCTTTTATGTTCAACAGCATGGGCTGTTCGTTTATTGGGATCATCTCACAATAAGACAACGCATTCCTTGATACCTGCACTACTCACAAGCACCAAAAGCCCTCAACAGACTTCACATACTCTCCACTTTTTCCAACATCTTTAGGCAGCCTCAACTCCTGCCTGCTGCTAAGCCAGCTGAACACACAGGGATGAGGAGGCAGATATATGAGAGCTTACAGAAATGATTCCTTACCCAATATCCCCCCCCCCGATCATCACACAAATACTCAACTTTCCAGCGTGCCAAACCAAGCCACGTAACTGCACAGCAACTGATAGAAACTCTCAGTTCTCCCCCCCCTGCCAGAAATCACTTCTCAGAATAAATCTGCCACATAAGACTCACAGTCTTATCTACATCCAAGCTGCTACACGAGCGTGGTCAGATGTGCAGTAGTTCAGTGGGATGCAAACCCAACTGCTGCCAACCCAAGGTCCCACCTGGGGGCTCAGCTACCGAGCCCCAGAGCAGCACCCAGCCCCCCACCACCAGCCCCCGGGCCGCACTCCCCCCCCCCCCCCCCCCGGGCTGAGCCCAGCACCTACCTGGTCGCATCTCGGCGTGGCCAATGCTGGACCCCCCGCGCCCCAGGTAACAAGGATAGCAGCTCCTCCATTGGTAACGGTAGTGATTGCCGGCAGCACCGGGGATGCCACCCAAAAAACCGAAGCACCACAGCAGCATCCGAAAGTGTTCCTGCCTCATGCTGGGAAGTCAAAAAGGTAAAAAGGAAAGACCAAAAAAAAAAACCCGAAACGACTGTTCACAGTGCGGTCCTGCAGCAAGTAAGAGGAGGAATGGGAGGGCTGCAGGAGCCAAAAAAAAAAAAGGAAAAATACCAACAAAAATCCCACAAAGGCGCAGCGAGCGGGCGGGGCTCCGTGCGGGGCTGGACGCGGGGCGCTCCGCCGCCCCCCGCAGGTGAGGGCAGCTCCGAGAAGCGCCGCCCCTCGCCCCGCACCGCCAGCAGCGGCCGGGACACCGCATTCCTCCGAAGGAAGGATTGGCGAGGAGCCGGAGCGGGGGCTCGTAGCGGCGGAGCGGCTCAGGAGGCTGCCTGCATGGACGGACGGACGGACGGAGGAATGGACGTGGGTGCCCAGCACGCAGCCCAGGTGCCGGCAATCCAGCCCAACTGACATCACCGCCTGTCCAACCGCTACGCTGCAGCCCCCGCCCGAGTGCCGCCGTTGCCCCCCGGCCCAGGTGCCCGCTGTAAGGCAATCAGCCCCAACCGCCGCACCTCCCTCTAACGACACGCACCTGGTGAGGCTGCAAGTGCAAAGCTTCCCTGTGCCTTCCTTACAGCTAAAAAGTCTCCAGTGACAAAGCTAAGCTCAGCTAAGGAGCAACCCTATGGAGAAATCCACACCGTTTCCATAATGCAAATCCTAGGATTTCATTTTACCTTTTTCATTAAGCAAGAAGTAAGAACAGCTCGTTGCATTTTCCAGAGGCGAGCTTAAAAGGCTCATTTTGCTTCTGGGATGGTTTGAAACAATGAGCTTGTGGGGCTGAGCCAGGGGGGAGAGTGGGGCTGCTGCTTTTAGAAGTCTTCTTTGGCTGTAGTAAAATTCCAAATTAAAACTTGTGGTTGTGGCTGCAATGAATAGCATTCCACAGAAAGTCCTGAAGCACGGAGAGGAGCTGAATCCAGAAAGCAAAGCGTTGGGGGCTGCTGGGAAGGACGGTGGGCTCCAGCCACGAGCACCCCAACCCATGGACCCACATAGGGGCAGCTCCCAGCACAGCACAGAGCACCCAGTGACCAACCAGCAACCCAGATGTCACAGTATGCTGTTGCTGCCCTGACCCCCTCCTCAGGAGGGCCCCTACCAGCCCTGCTGCAGTGGGCAGCGCTGACACTTTTCCTGTAAATGCTTCTGGTGGTGC